GCCTCCACCAGTGTGTGAATGTGAGAGTGAATGAATAGTGGAATTGTAAAGCGCTTTGGATGCCTTGAAAAGCGCTATATAAATCCAATCCATTATTAGTATTGTTCTTCCATTCTTTATTATTTTCTTTTCCGTACGTTTTTTGGCATCTAACTCCTTCAAAACCGTTACTTAGAAAAACCATTCAAACACCGTTAGATTCCTCTTCTTTTGGACATTCTTATTCTGTGTGAACGTCAGCTTTTAGCAGTTCAGCACTTTTGTTTTCAGGTTAAAAATTCTGTTTTGTTTTCTCCTTCAAACTTTTTAACATAAAATTCATCATTTATTTCATTTCAGCTCATACATTCAGATTTAAGCATTCACACTGCAGTTTCTTCAGAAAATGCACTTTCTAGTTTAACATGATGTAGTACTTTAATGGGTTTTTTAAAAAAAGGTAAAATCGTCAGGGTGAATTATCGCTACATGACCAGGCGTCCAAAAGTAACACTGCTTGGGTCAGTTTATTTTATGGCCCTGGGAAATGTATATTTGGTCTGACTTTGTTTTTTACTGGCAAAGAAAAAATACTGGGGTCAAAAATAAATCTACTTTGAAAGTTTGACGAGGACAGCAAAATGTGATCAGGCCATATTGAGTTTTATGGTTTGTTTACATAATTTTTCCCCTGTTCAAGTTATTTTAAAGTTTAAAAAAACAAAAACAATCCTGAAAGAATGACAGACGTTTCCGAGGAAACACTCAGCATACTTAAATATATACTAAGATTATGCTGAGATTATCTGTAAATCCTCACTACTTTTATATTTAATTACTAACAATTATGTCCCTACTCATTATTACAGTTTAATAATAAAAACACACATACCAGCAAACATTTTATATCAGGTGTCTCCGTGGGGACCAGTGCAACACTACTAGCACTCTGATCCAGGTGCGTTTATTTGAATTTCTTTTTATAAAACAGGAGAAAGTTGCAAGAAGCCACTTCTATCATGCAGGGTGAGTGATGAGCACCAAATAACTATTTATTTTTTTTAGTATTCATTCAAGACGAATGCTTAGGAGAGTGGAACCTTAGGGAAGGAATTTACACTGTAACCCTGTGTTGTTCTTTGACATTCTGGGCATGAACTGAAGACTTCAATTACGATCTCTGGATCGTAATTGAAGTCAATCACACTCATCAATCACAAGTGAGGATCCTTCAAGTGAATGTCGGGTCAGACAGCTGACGTTAACTCTCAGGCCAAGTTTGAAGTTGTGACTGCACGTGCGAATATAGAAAACAGCCAACCAGCCACTTGATGACACCGTGTAGCAGAGATGGGCAGTAACGCGTTACTTGTAACTTGTAACGCGTTACTGTAACTATTTTCAAGTAATGAGTAAAGTAAGGGATTACGATTACAAAAACCGTATTTAGATTACAGTTACTTTCCCGTAGGAACGCTGCGTTACTGCGTTACTAAAACCGTGATTTTTTTGCGAGAATGTCTCATGACAGTGACGTAAGCGAGTGC